GTCCATAAAAGGGCTTGGGCAGTGGACAGAGTCCAGGCTTTAGTTGGTTGAACGCATGGGGGGTCACAGCCCATTCAATCTCTGGGTGGAAAGATCCCCTGGAGAAGGGAATGACAATCCACTCCAGTGTTCTTGCCTGGAGAATCCCATGGCTACACCATCCATGAGGTCACAAAGAGTCAGACAGGACTGAGCAATTAACACACACATGGGAGTCAGAAAAGGTTAACATTATCATCATCAGCTCCAGGTTCCAGTTGATCTGATGGTTGAGTGCTTGAGGGGGGCTTAAATTCTGCAAAACAGCTCAGGAAAGTGCTTCAGGCCAGTCTTTACCAAAGAACTAGAACTGGAAGTCTTTACAAGTGACCTGTTATCTTTGCTATTGTTACTTAGCTGGATCATTGAAAAAGCAAGAGAGTTCCAGAAAAACATCTATTTCTGCTTTATTGACTATGCCAAAGCCTTTGACTGTGTGGATCACAATAAACTGTGGAAAATTCTGAAAGAGATGGGTGACCTGCCTCTTGAGAAACCTATATGCAGGTCAGGAAGCAACAGTTAGAACTGGACATGGAACAATAAACTGGTTCCAATTAAGAAAAGGAGTATGTCAAGGCTGTATATTGTCACCCTGCTTATTTAACTTATATGCAGAGTACATCATGAGAAATTCTGGGCTGGAAGAAGCACAGGCTGGAATCAAGGTTGCCGGGAGAAATATCAATAACCTCAGATATGTAGATGACACCACCCTTATGGCAGACAGTGAAGAGGAACTAAAAAGCCTCTTGATGAAAGTGAAAGAGGAGAGTGAAAAAGTTGGCGTAAAGCTCAATATTCAGAAAACTAAGATCATGGCATCTGGTCCCATTACTTCATGGAAAATAGATGGGGAAACAGTGGAAACAGTGTCAGACTTTATTTTTGCGGGCTCCAAAATCACTGCAGATGATGATTGCAGCCATGAAATTAAAAGACGCTTACTCCTTGGAAGGAAAGTTATGACCAAGCTAGATAGCATATTAAAAAGCAGAGACATTATTTTGCCAACAAAGGTCTGTCTAGTCAAGGCTATGGTTTTTCCAGTGGTCATGAATGGATGTGCGAGTTGGACTATGAAGAAAGCTGAGTGCCGAAGAATTGATGGTTTTGAACTGTGGTGTTGGAGAAGACTCTTGAGAGTCCCTTGGACTGCAAGGAGATCCAACCAGTCCATCCTACAGGAGATCAGTCCTGGGTGTTCACTGGAAGGACTGATGTTGAAGCTGAAACTCCAATACTTTGGCCACCTCATGCAAAGAGTTGACTCATTGGAAAAGACCCTGATGCTGGGAGGGATTGGGGGCAGGAGGAGAAGGGGGCGACAGAGGATGAGATGACTGGATGGCATCACCAACTTGATGGACATGAGTTTGGGTAATCTCTGGGAGTTGGTGACAGACAGGGAGGCCTGGTGTTCTGCAGTTCATGGGGTTGAAAAGAGTTGGACACGACTGAGCAACTAAACTGATTGTTACTTCTCTTGCCTGATAACATTTGATCTTTTTCCCCGTTAAGATCATTATTACTGAGGAATGTTCAAGGGCAAGCACTGTGGCCAAGCTTATGTCACAAAATGGCTTCTCTTAGGGATATCTTTGGTGGTCCAGAGGCAAACATTCTGCTCTCCCAATACAGGGGACCTGGATTCGATCGCTGGTCAGGGAACTAGATCCCACATGCTGGAACTAAGAATTAGCATGCTGTGACTAAGAGATCTGTGTGCTGACACTAAGACCTGGTGTAGCCAAAGAAAATGGCTTTAAAAAATGGCTTCTCTTATGCCAAGAAACCCATGCCCGGTTCATTTTTTCTGGGGACCCCCTCTCTCATCTGCTGACAGTAGTACCTGCTTCTTGTCCTTGGATGTAGCTCCATACGGTAGGCAAAATGGAAGCCCCCCCAAACATGTCCACATCCTAGTCGCTTGAATATCTATCACCTCATATGGCAAAGGGTGTAAGTTATGAGAGGAGGAGTTTATCCTGCATTTCAGGTGGACCCTGAAAACATCAGAGAGAGGCTGGGGGAGCTCAGAGACAGAGACACAGACAGCCATGTGGCCGCAGAGCTGAGACAGCAGTCATGAGGCCACCAGCCTGGGAAGCTGGAAAAGCACGGGAAGATCCTGCCTCGGAGCCTGCAGAGGGAGCACGGCCCTGCCAACACCTCGCTTTCCGATGCTGGCCTCCAGACTGACAGTGTGAGTTCCTGTGGTCCCCCACCCCCACCTCCGGCTTGTGGCACTGCGATTTGTCGTCAGGACAGTCACTGGAAACTCGGATGCTCCTGCACTGCGCCTCTGGTTCTTGAAAGGCCCATCAGCACCTCCCGCTGAAGCCGTCCACCTCACCGTGGGACTCTAACCCGCACGGCTGGGACTTGAACCCTTGGCTCCTCCTTAGCTCAGGCCCACCTGTCCTGGGTGCCCCTCCCAGTGACAGCCCCTTCTGCCAGGCATGCTGACCCTCTTCCGATGCTTTCACAGGTGCAGGTGGGAGATGGACCTTTATATCCAGAAAGGCCAGGAATCTGCATCGTGGCCCAGGCACACACATGCTCATGCATACTCACACACACAGAGGCATGTCAGACACAAACACATGTGTTCACACTGACACGCACACTTGCACTTTCTCCTGCACACCAGTCTAGGGATTTCCCGTCTAAGGTCATAGGCTGCTCTCCTAGACAGTGAGGTTCCTTCCTTCCCACCATTGCTCTGATTTTAGGAGAGGCAACTGATGACTGAAGCAGAACAGAACTGACCAGAGTAGTCTCTGCCCGGCGTGTGGCCCAGCGTGGTCTGATTATGCCTCATCTTTCCAAAGCCTCAGGTCTGCTCTCCCTGGATGTGGGCAGGGTTGCAGACTCCCGTGGAGCCGTGGGAGTGGGAGAGATCTGCTGTGTCCCTTACCCCATTCCTGTGGCCCCAGCCCCCAAAAAAGGGCCCATGGTGGTGGTTCCCTCAGATGCCCCCCTATTGGAAGTAACCAGACCCCCTTGGGCTCTTGGCTCCCCTGCACCCCCCCCCCCCCCCAACCAGACTGGAAGCAGCAAGATGTGAGGGCCCAGCTTCCATCTTGTGTCTTAGCTCTATGTGCTCTGGACTGGACCCTAACTCCCCAGAGTACAGGACAGCTGCCCTTCAGAGCGCTGGGGGTCTCTCCAGGAAAGGAAAGGGGAGCCTGAGCCATTTGTCTCTTTTAGCTCTAACCTGCCTGGCTGACCACATCGGATGGATGGGCTGCTGGTTTCAAAGCTCACAGGGACAGCTGTCCCGTCTCCCACTCCCTCCCCGCCACCTGCCTGAGACAAAGGCAGGTCGGGAGGACCCTTATGCAACCCCTGGACAAAATGAAGACATTCTGAAAAGGCTTCAAGGACAAGGGACCCTTGTGTGGCCCAGAAGATGGGGTGAACACCAGGGGGCCCCACACTGGAAGTTATCCCCTGTCCACATCCACGCCTTTCCCCGAGCCCTCCGTCAGTGCTGGGACCTGTCCACCCTCCAGGGAACCAAGGCCGGCGTGCTGTGGGTTCAAGGCAGTGGGGCTCTTGTCAAAAAGGAACAGGGCCTGGTGAAGGCTCGGCTGGTGTGATGGCTTCCCTCCCGAGGTCTGATGAGTGGCTTGGGCTCCTGGAGGGTGCTAAAAGTGTCCTAGGGCGAGCCCACCATGCATGCTGGCTCAGATGGCTGAGTACTTTTTTAGGTGGAGTGTGCTGGGGGACCTGGGAGCAGGGCATACTCAGAAGTAAGGGTGCATCAGACACAATCTGCAACGATAAGGATGAAGAGGCCAGGTGAGGAGGAGGACAGTGGCCAATCACCTGGCACTGCTGGCAACCACAGGGAGGTGGTCGGGAGGGAGGAGCTCCACCCAAGTGCAGCAAGGAGCAGAGCTGCTTCCCAGGCAGGGCAGAGATGCTGGGGTAGCCTTTTCCTTGGAGGAGATGGCGAAGCAGAAAGAATGACACCATACACAGGCTCAAGGAGAACTCAGTTTTTATGGGTCAAGCCAAATGCAATGCAAAGTTGTTCTTGTTACTTTTTTTAACCAAAATAAATAAATCAGATTTGTCCCTGTGACGGGTCAGGGGAGCTGGCCCCTTGGCCATGTGCTGCCCCTCACTCCTGCCCCTCCTCTCCCCCTCTGACCAGCTTTGGCACAGCAGAGAGAAGAATGCTTCGGAGTCTCCATCGTGTTGAAGGGAAGAGGAGAGGAGGTGGGCTTGGAGGTGAAGGGAGAACAGGACCAGAGGAGTAGCTGGCACTCAGCCCTGAGTGGCACTTCTTGGCCACACCCAGCCCCAGGTGGTGGAGTGTGCATGGCCCCGCACACGGCCGGGACCCTCGGGAGCGGTGGAAGTGGTCGCTGCAGAGTGGACCCTCCCGCTCTGTGCCAGGTCAGTCTCGGGCCATCTCCCAGCAGCCGTCCCGCAGCAGTGCCCTTGGTCCACCGCATGGTGAGGGTCCTGCCAGAGCCCACCCACCCCACAAACCCTCAGACAGTGATGGCTCCTGTGAGGGGGTGGGGGCTCAGCTTGGGGAGAGGAGGCCACCCTTGTCCAGGTGCGGGAACACCTTGCTGGGTGACCAGGACTGCTGGCACAGGGGGATGCCGCATGAGGCTGGTCCTGTAGGGGTGAGCTGGGGGGATGGGGTGGGGGCAGCCCTGTCCCTCCCAGGACACCTGCAGGGGCTTCCCTCTCCTCCTCCCGCTCCCCACTGTCTCCATGAAGGCTGCTCAGCTGGATAGAAGTTGTAGAGCCCAGGGGGTATCTGGCTTGGGGGGGCAGCCAAGCACAGGAGGGGGCAACAGCCTAGTTCCTAAGTGAGCATGGGGCGTGTGCGGGAAGGATGGGCACAGGTGCGGGCAGTGCGGAGGCACGATGCTTTAGTTGGAAGCAAGGGGCAGTCGTGAGGTGCAGGGCGGCCCAAGCAGCCCAGGCAGCATCTACGAAAAGTTCTTGAAGGCGTCCAGGTCGAAGGCTGTGTCCAGGAGGCGCTGCAGCTCCGTGAGGTGGGTCTTCTTGTTGCCGGTGGCTGGAGCTGCTGCTGGGTCCCGGCCAGCATACCTGAGGGCAGCGACAGAGAGGGTGAGGGCCACTGAAGGGGCCAGGGCTCGTCACCCTCGCGGCCCCAGCTGACTGCCCGCGTCCCTACCACACAGGCTTGGCGCGGCTGATGGTGGTTCGCAGCCTGGGCTTCACGTAGTCGTAGTAGCCTTGGTTCTTGTGCTCCTCCTGGCACCAGGCCAGCTCAGCGTTGGGGTACTTCTGGACCTCCTGCAGCAGGAGGTCGAAGGGGAAAGGCGACAGCTGGGGGGAGAGGGAGAAGCTCCTGTCAGGAGGAGATGCTCAGAGTGATGGGCAAGGCTGGTGGCCCCAGCGGGGAGCACAGTGACCCCTAAAAGACGCCCATGCCAGAACCTCTGGGAGAGCTCGAGGGCCCGCACACCTGGAGGAGGGCCGCCAGCACTGGTCCGAGAGCCACACGCCCTCACCTGCTCGATCCTGGTGATGGCCACCTGCTCCACCATGTCCCGCGCTTTGCGCTCTCGGGTGAGGTCATAGTACACTTTGCCGGTACAGAAGAGAAGTCTCTTGACGTTCCCTGGGTCCTGTGCTGCAGGGCCATCTTCTGGGATCACCCGCTGGAAGTGCGTTCCTACGAGAGAAGCCCCATGGCCAGGGGATTTGCTTAGGACTTGGCTGAGGGTGTCTAGGGCCTTCCCTCCGTGAGGTGGGGCTGTACCATGACTGACACCATGACACAGGGTTTCTGAGGGTTAGGACGCTGCCCCTCCCACCAGCCTGTGATGTCCTTGAATTAATCCACACTGAGAGAGCCTAACAGGCACGGTAACCTGACAGCCTTGGAAAACAAGTGACATCAGTTCATTCTTTCGAACGATCTGCCTCAGACTTGGGGACAGCTAGGACTAGTAGAGCACCCCATGACTGCTCTGCTCAGACTCCTCCTGAGTTTACAAACACCAAAACTTTCCACATTGGAAACTGGAGCAAATATTCAGATGCTCATGGCCTGAACCATCCCTCTGGGAACAAGGCTGACTTCAGAAAGCTGCATTCAAAATGAGGGGTTCACTTAGTGACACATATGCAGCACAGGACATGCTCACATGCTACACACGCAAATGCTAGGATTAGAAGGAAACTACCTTCACACACACAAAAAGGCCAGGTATGAGACACCCACTGTGAACATCATACTCTTTGGTGAAAGACTGAAAGCATTTTCTTTAAGATCACAAACAAGGCAAGAATGTCCGTTCTCACCACTTCTACTCAACATAATACTGGAATTCTAGCCAGGGCAATTAGGCAAGAAAAAGAAATAAAAAGTATCTAAATTGGAAAGGAATAAGTAAAATCATGTTTGTTTTATATGTAGAAACCCCTAAAGGTTACACACACACACACACACACACACACACACTTGTTAAAACTAATAAATGAATTCAGCAGAATTACAGGATAGAATATTAACACTCAGAATTTAGTTGTATTTCTATGAACAATCCGAAAGTTAAAAAAAGAAAAAAATCCTATTTGAAACAGCATTAAATAAATAAAATCACTTAGGAATAAACTTAACCAAGAAAATGAAAAACTTGTACACTGAAAACTACAGTACATTATTGAAAGAAATTAAAGATACCAATAAATGGAAAGTCATTTGTGTTCATGGACTGGAAGACTTAACACTGTCATGATGTTAATACGACCAAAGCAATCTATAGATTCAATGCAATCCTTATCAAAATCCCAAGGACATGGACGTTTTTTGCAGAAATAAAATCCATCCTAAGATTCATGGTATCCCAAAGGATCCTAAATAGTCAAAACTATCTTAAAAAAGAAAAACAAAGTTGGAGGACTCATGTTTCCTGATTTCAAAACTTATTACAAAGCTACAATATCAGAGCGTGGTATTGGCACAAAGACAGATATACAGACCAATGGAACAGAAGACAGTTCAGAAATAAAGCTTTACATATATGGTCAGATGATTTTGACAAGAGAACCAATAACATCCAATGGGGAAAGGACAGTCTCTTCAACAAATGGTGCTGGGAAAACTGGATACCCATACGCAAATGAAGCTAGGTCCTTACACCACACAGAAACACTGACTCAAAATGGATTAAAGGCAGACCAAGAGCTGAAATTATAAAACTTCAACACTGAATTTGACAAGGATTTCTTAAGAAAAAAATAGAAAAAGTGGACTTTATAAAAATTAAAAAAGTTTGTACATCAGAAGACAACACAGATGGAAGAAAATAGTTGCAAGTCATATATCTGATAAGGCATCTATATCCAGTAAATGGAGAGAAATCTCACAACTCAACAACAAAATAAGCAAACCAATTAAAAAATGGGCAAGGACGTACGACTTTCTCTAAAGACAACATACAGATGACCAGTAAGCACATGAAAAGATGCTCAACATCACTAATCATTAGGGAAATGAAAATCAAAATTGCAATGAGATACTACTTCATGGTCACGAGGATGGCTATTACAAAACAAAGACAGAAACAGAAAACAGTACTAGTGTTGGCAAGCCATGCAGAGAAACTAGAACCTTGTGCATTCTTGGGAACCACTATGGAAAACAGTATGTTACACTACAAGAGTTACCATATGACCCAGCAATTCTGCTTCTTGGTATATATCCAAAGGAATCAAAAGCAAGGTCTTGAAGAAAGATTGGTACACCCATGTTCGTTGTAGCATTATTCCCAATGGCTAAAATGTGGAGGCAACCCAAGTGTCCACTGACAGATGAACAAACAAAAAATGTATATACCATATACATACAATAGAATACTATTCAGCTTTAAAAAAGAAGGAAATTCTGACACATGCTACAACATGGATGAACCCTGAGGATATCATAAGCTAGTCACATAAAGACAAACATTATACAATTCCACTTATATGCAGTTCCTAGAGTCGTCAAACCTATAGAGACAGAAGGCAGAATGGTGGGTACCAGAGGCTGGGGAGAAGGGGTGGTGGGGGAGTTGCTTTACTTCAACCAGGGATCAAACCCGTGCCTCGTGCAGTGGAAGTGCTGCATTTTAACCATTGGACTACCAAGGAAGTCCGATGAATGTGTTTATTAATGCCACTGAACTGTACACTTAAAAGTGGCTAAGATGGTAAATTTTATATAATGCATATTTCACCATAATAATAATAAAAGGGAAAAAACCAAAGACAGGATTTACCATGATAGAAAACTAAAGGGGGCTCCATGGCTGGCAGCAAGTGGGGATGTGCAGGGCTGCTGCGTGCTGCCAGCCGCCTGTCTGCTGTCCGGGTGAAATTGCAATGCTGTGGGCCTCACCTCACCCTACTGAGCTGGGTGTTATGTGGCAGGCCCAACCCACCCAGTGCCTCTCCTCTGTCCCTGGCTGCTGTCAGCCCCCGGGAGCAGTGGTCAGGCAGCAGGATGCACTCTAGACTCGGACTCATTTCACTGCCTCTAAGAGAGTCCTAGGGATGCACCCAGCAAAGGCTGTGGATCCTGGTGGGACAAGAGAAGACATGCTGTTGGACCAATCTGCACACAAGCTCTGACACCCTGGCTGTCGTGTTCAGTGGTCTTTACCCAACAACCAAAAATGTGGCAAGGACCACAGTGAGACTGACAAGCTCCCTAACACAGCAGCAGTTAAGACCCCCTCCAAATGCCCAGCCCCCTCATGCCTACCTGGAAGCATCTCGTCAAAGTTGGACCTGGCCTCGGGGTGCCGCAGCAGGGACTTCGGGGTGAAGATGATTAGCTGAAACACAGAAGCACAGGCTCATGACAGACCAGGCTCTGAGTGTTCCAGAAGGAGGGCGGCAAGGGGCTGCCCAGGCCTGTCTCCGGAGCAGGCCCTCCTGCTGCCCTCCTGGCTCTACATCAGGAGGAGCGCAGGCCTGAGGTGAAAGGAGCAAACAGGATGATGCTGTTTGCCCCTGGGCTCTCCTCCTGTGCCCCGAGATGCTGGGCTCTGCTCAGCTAGGCACCCTCTCCTCCAGGGCCCGCCCCAGTCTGCTCAGAACCCTTGGCACTGCTACCCTATACCTGGGAAAGACACCTGAGCCTTTCCTGGGTGTCCCTGCCTGTGGCCAGGGCTGCCCTGCTCCATGGGCCTGACTGGCCCTGCACGCTTACTGGTAGCAGCAGGAAGCATTCTCCCCTTGGGCCCTTCACACACACGCCCACTCACCCTTCAACACCCTGCCCAGGAGCCTGCTTCCTGAGGACCCTCTGTTCCTTCAGCCCCCAATGGGGGGCTCACCTCTCCTCCAAGCGCAACACACCACCTACAACCACCCGCTCACATGTTCATCCTCCCATTGGGCTGGGGCCCTGGAGTCCTCAGGCCAGGCCTCTCTGAGCAGAGACACCCCCAACTGACCGGCTTCCGGAAGGGCAGGAGAATCTGGCGACGTAGCACGTGGAAGAAGTTGCCAGGGGTGGAGCAGTTGACCACAACCCAGTTGCAATCATACAGCTGATTTATGTCAAAGTTGGCTTCCTTAAGGTCCTATAGCAAAGAGTTGGAGAAGGCCAGAGGCCCAATGGCTCTAAGCACCCTGCTGTGGGAGGCACTGAGGCAGACAGCTTCAGAAGGCCCCGGGTCCCAACCTCAGGCACCTCAGCTCCCTCTGAGAGGCACGCAAAGGGGACACAGACAGACAGAGCTCAGCCAGCCAGCTCTAAGCTCTGAATGGAATTCTCAGTCCCACATTTATCCCTATGTCTCTGAAAACTACTGCCTGGCTTAGGACAGACACAGGGTCTAGCTAAAACCAATTCAGATTTTCCTTAGAAACTGACTCCCAGTAATTTCCTCTCAGCTCTTGAAGTTTCACTAAAATCACCCCAGAGTTCTTTCCTCTAAAATGTCTGCTTGGGGAACTCCCTGGCGGTCCAGTGGTTAGGACTCTGAGCTATCACTCCCGAGCGCACAGGTTCAATCCCTGGCCAGGGAACTAAGATCCTGAAAGCTGCAATAAATAACTTGCCTGAATCAAAACACAGACAGTATTACTCCTAAAAGCTTCTGCTGCAGAAAGCAGCCTGGTACTGTCTTCTATGCTCTGAAGAGGCCTCTCATTTCCAGGACACAAGCAGGCTTGGGCCCACCTACGACTCCTGAGAGGGACAGAGCAGTGGTACCTTCAGAGGTGCCCACAGACGCCCAGGTGGTGGCTACTTACTGGCAGGACATCTGGATCATCATTGCACATCTGCAGGAACCTCTCTGGCCTGGCGGAGGAATGTTCTGGGCCCTGGAACCAGACACACAAGTTACAAATCAGGAGCTTCTCCCATTCTGACAGCTGCATTCAGTACTTCTCTTCCTTAACCAACTTGCTCATTTCTGGTCTGAAAAACACCAAGTTATCTCTTTCCTGCCAATAGTTTAATTCCTTCTCCTCCTGCCTATGGAGTGGAGGAGGAGTTTCCACATCAGGACAGGGCCGAGTACTCCTGGCTCCTCATCACTTCCAAACTGGAGTGTTAAGAAAACCCCTCACAGGGCCTGGGGGAGGAGGGAGGGAGAGCACAGGGCCTGCCTGAAGCTGAGCGGGCCCCAGCCACACCCCCACTTCTCATCCAGAACTGAGCAGGACCTGCCTCTTGCCTCCAAGGAGGTGGGGAACACCAGCAGAGCCTGCGCCGTGCCAGTCTCGGGACCAGGGTCCCAGGCAGGCCCTTCCTAGGTCTGCCAGGGAAGGGGTGGGGGGCTCACCATGCCCTCCATGCCGTGGGGCAGCAGCAGCACGATGCCGTTCTGCCGCACCCACTTGGCTTGTCCCGGGCAGATGAACTGGTCGATGATGCACTGGGCCGTGTTATGGAAGTCACCAAACTGGGCCTCCCAGAGGACCAGGGCGTTAGGACTGGCCATGGCAAAACCCAGCTCAAAGCCTGCAGAGCAGGAGGAAGGGAGGAGACCGGACAGCAGTCAGCTGGCGGGTGGGAGGGGGAGGTGGGGAGGAGGGGGTGGTCGGGGAAGCAGTGGGGAGAGGGTGGCTGGGGAGGACAGGGAGGAGGGCCTCGCAGGCCCTAGTGCTCACCCAGGACCCCGTACTCGGACAGTGAGCTGTTGCACACGGTGTAGGGGGCCTGGTTGGGCCAGAGGTGGTTCATGGGGATGCAGGTTCTCTTGTCCACGTTCTGGTCGTGCAGGACATGGTGGCGATGGCTGCGGCAGAACAGCACAGATTAGCAGGCAGCAGCCGGCCCTGCACGCGGCTCAGACTAGACGCCACGCACAGCCGCTGCTGGGGGCACAAAGCCTCATTCTTAACAAAAGAATCTAATCAGAGCAGGAATAGGGTGCTTCTGGTCCTGAGACAATAGGATCTAATGACTGCTCCCTGGCAGTGATCTTCATCTGGAAGACAACCACCACAGCCCTTCATTTGCATCTCCTCCGCTCTGAAGAGCCCACAAGAACACCAAGGCCATTACCTAAAAGTGCCCCGCTCCACATCCTGGCCGCTCAGCCGGATATGGATGCCCTCCTTCAGTAGGGAGCCAAAAGCCATGTACTCTGCCAGAGCCCAGTCCACAGTCCTGTTCTTCACCAGCTCCCCACGGGTCTTCAGGATCCGGCTCAGCCCTGCAGAGACAGACGGTGTTCACCAGCTGCCCCGAACACCCTCGTAGGACAAGAGCTCCCTGCGGCCCCAGCTTCCGGGGTCCAGAACTGCCAGAAGGGTGGCATCCAGACCAGGGAGGCTGTGACGTCCCGTGCCTTCATCCACTGCGCTGCTGGCTGAGGACCATGCCGGGGCAGGGGTGAGGAGACAGGCTGCCTCATCCAACCACCCTTGCACGGCCTTGAACGAGGCAGGAACCTGAGCCAGACAGGGACCAGTCTCAGGCCAGAAAGGAGTCGGCACTACTTCCGAAGGCCCGGGTGCTGGCCGAGGCGGGGCGGGGCAGGGCATCCTCACCTCCGTGAATGGTGAAATCCTCCACAGGCACGGAGCTGGCCACGTTTCCAATGTGTGTGAGAATGTCCTCCGTCAGGCCCGTGGAGGGGCAGGTCATGCTCCTCGGCTGCCCGTCCAGGGTGAAGAAGCCTGGGGCAGAAAGGGCAGGCTGATATAAGGAACTGTGGACGTGTGAAATGCTGCTGAGAGGTGGCCAAGATCTTCTTCCCTTGAGAGCAGCAGTCAAGGGTCCGATTCTGGGACCCATGGGGTGTGGGCGGAAGGGGTTCACCGGTGGCATGCCTCACTCACCAGGCCAGGGGGAGTCCAGCCAGTGCTTGATGTGCAAGATCTTTTCGTCCTTGGACCTGGTGAAGGCCTCCTCACAGATCTTGTCATACTTGGAGATCTCCTCCTAGAGGATCGGGCACAATGCAGCCGTCAGCGCTGCCCTGCACAGGGCATGCCGGGCACCCAGCCAGCACACACCGAGCCAGGGCACACCAGCACCTTCCCAGTGCAGAGTCCTTCAGACCCCACGGACCCCTGGCTTCTCCTCCCAACACGCATCACCTCTGGGAGATCTGTGGGAAGCCTGGTAGTATTTCTGTCCCAGCGGCTCCTTCTCCACTTCGGGCTGTGGGTCCTGCTCACCCTCCCTCCAGTCTTCCTGATGAACTGGTCCAGTTCTCGGGCTCCGAGCGTAGCCCCAGGAGGACTGAGCCTGAGTGCCATCTTGGCACCTGCCCTGATCCCAGAACCAGCCTCACTCACAGGCCCCTGACTCTGTGTGCTCAGGACCTGCACTGCTCATCTTTCTCCGTCACTCTGCATGGGCCTTTCCTCTCATGACCAGCCAGAGAGATCAGCTCGCAGCAGGCCTTTTACTGAGCTGGGTCCCTCACCACCCTCTCACCCCCTCACCCCTCTGCACTGGGCTCCATGAGCCTCAGAGGCCAAGGTGAAGTCCTCTCAGGTCCCACCTCCCTCATGGAACTAACTCCTCAGTAGCCTGGACCTTCCAGGTTATGTGCAGAAATGCTGTAGTTGTAAATATTTCACACGTTCTCACTTGGATCCTAAGTGCTCTGCAGAAGTGAGCACTGGCCCTGTGGTGGGTCTTCTCTATCCCGCCTTGGCTCCGGAAAGACCCACCAGGACAGAGCCAGGCACGCACCTCGTACTCAGGCTGATTGACCACGCCCTGTGACACCAGCAACTCTGCATACTTCTGCAGCACGGGCTTCTGTTTGCGGATCTGCTTGTACATCAGCGGCTGGGTGAACATGGGCTCATCCATCTCGTTGTGGCCGTTGCGCCGGTAACACACCTGGGCACGCCGGGAGACCCCAGCATCAGGGACCATGTCAGTCAGGACCCAGGACCTATGAGGACCTGTCCCATTTCTCCTAGTTGACACCTCAGTTGACCTCCTCTAGAATTAGGTCCTATCTCCCTCTCCTTCACACACTAGAATTGCTTTGACTGTCCCCCGATGAAACAAGAGTGACCTGGGACTATCTTTGGACAGGACCCCAATTACCTTCTTGCCCAGGTTGGGGCAACCAAGCCAAAGACACAGGAGCTCTCGGGAGGGGAAGGGAGGTGTCCTCTGGCCCTAGGGAGCCCTAACCCCTCTCTCCAGGACACAGGCTAAGGTCACTCACCAGGTCCACCACCACATCCTTGTGGAAGGTGCTCCTCCACTCGGCTGCAACTTTGCACACATACATGACTGCCTCTGGGTCATCCGAGTTCACGTGGAAGATAGGGGCATTCACCACTCGGGCCACATCAGTAGGGTAGGGCGAGGAGCGGGCCATGCGCGGGTCTGTGGTGAAGCCGATCTGCAAGGGACAGGCAGCTTGGCCAGGGGGCTTGGGCACACTGCTAAGCATTAGCGGGACAGAAGTAGGGTGGGCCAGGGCAAGTCTACCCCAGGTCAATGGCAGGGTGGGGACAGGGCTTGGGCGAGAGTGGATATGTCTGAGGGTGAGGGTGGGGCTAATGGCAGGCAGGGCAGAGCTGAAGGCCACCTGCTGGAGGTCACTTGGCTGCATGTGGCCTATTCTTGAGACAGTCCCTAAAGGGCTATTTAAAAAAATTTGTTTTCTTTTTTCCTATTCTGGTAACAAAATTCATACCTGTTGAATAGAGTTTGGAAGAGAGTATGAAAAATTAAAATCATCTATATTCTACCAGTTTCAGTGTAAATATCTTGATGCCTTCCTTTCTAGATGATTTTCTTTGCATGCATACACATATCAATATAAATATAAAATTTCAGATCCTACTATTGCTGTAATTTTGCACTCTGTTCACTAACATGAGTATTTTTTCTTTGAAAAGAAAATTTAAAGGTCTCATCACTTAGATACATTAAAACTTAATCATATATTTGTAATTTTATAATCTGCATTTAAAACTTATTTTTATGAACTACTTCAAACATCCAAAAAGTATGATACTACATGGCCCTGAAAGTAGAGGACAGTTTCCACATGTTGCTGTATGTATTCCATATGTCGGTAAACAGTATATAGATATCTTAGGTTTGTTGTTTATGTTTAGTTGCTAAGTCGCGTCCAACTCTGCAACCCCAGGGACAGTAGCCCGCTAGGCTCCTCTGACCATGGAATTCTCCAGGCAAGAGTAACAGGAGTGGATTGCCATTTCCTTCTCCAGGGGATCTTCCCGACCCAGGACTGTAACTCAAGTCTCCTGCATTGCAGGTGGATTCTTTACCACTGAGTCACCAGGGAAGCCCCTTCTTAGGCTTACTGATTATTAAAATTAAAAAGGCTTACTGGTATCATTTCCGGTTCATGAAAAAGTTGGAAGCTACAGAGAACTCCCAGATTCTTTATTGAGATTCAACAATGGTTCCCATTTTGCCCCCTTTATTATATATACTCTTTCTGTTACACACACGCACTCTCACACACACACATTTTTTCTGAACCATTTTCAGGTAAGTTGTAGACCAAAAGACTGTCCCTAGTCCTTAAAACACAGACACAGCCTTACCAGCCGTGGTACAGTTCTCAGTTCACGCAATTTAGTATTATAGAATATTGTTTTAAGACCCCTCAGTATACACATTTCATCAATAGTCCTAATGATATACAGTCTTTCCTGCCTCAGCCTAGTACTCAATCCAACACTTCATTGTGCATTAGTTACCACCTCTCTGTGGTCTCCCTTAAACTGGAAGGCTCTTTACTTTTTTTGGTTTTCATAACATAAACATTTTGGAAGAGTATTTCCATGTCTTTTAAACTATAGAGGTATACATTCTATATACCTTACATATGGTAGCATCCTCTTTATGTGGTACAGATTCTTTGCAACTTGCTTTCTGTTCAAATTTATATTCATGGTTCATCCAGGTTGAAACATGGACCTCTACTTTCCCAGCAGAGCTTGATGAAATCTAAGTACTAAATAGTACCACAGTTCATTTATCCATTCTCCTGTCAGTGGATGTTGTTTCCAACTTATGATTAATACACTGTTACTATACACATTTCTACACCGGTTTTCTCCAGCAAACACTTGAGTTATCTGCAGTCCTCCTAGGAAGGGAAAACTAAGCCACAGGGTCTGAGCTCTACATCCAAATAACCTCAAGCGCTCTCCAATGTGGCTGGGCCATGCAGCCTTCCCCAGCAGCAAGGGTGCCCTGCATTTTTACTCACCATACTGCGAATGTTTCACCAGGATATTAAATATTTTAATGATTATGTAATACTGTTTCCTACAGTTTTGCCAAAATTTATACAAAGACTCACTGGTTTTGATAAACATTCTTATACAAAAATAGTTTGCATCTGATGGCTTCCTTAGGAGAAAAATGTAGAAGGGGAAATCCTAGGTGTATTCTTAGAGAAATGAGAGCCTCAGCCAAGCAGGCCTCTCTTTTCCTGTTACAGATCTTCTTAACTGACCCCACATCATGACAGATGGTACCAAAACCAGCAGAAAGACAAAAAAAAAATTAGTAAAACTGTAGGTTTTTACAGAAGTTTGAGAGTTCTTTATTTATGATGAATTGCTTTTACATAAACTCCTTTATCATACTGACTAAAGAAAAGATTAGAACTAGTCAGACACCAATGAGAACATTAAAAAATGATGTACCAGTGAGAATTCTGAAAAACACTTACAGAGACCATGCACAATCCCATGGTCTATCTGGGACTTCCCACAGGGAGATGTGGGTAAGCACCAGGTAAGATAGGAATCATAGCATGCACGTTACAGCTATAACCTCACAGAAAGTGAACTGCTTTGAAGTTTTGAGGTCTCAGTCCCCCAGATGCCCTCCTCAATATCTGCCACTGTTACTGACTTCTGTATCTTTAAGCACATATGGTGGGTATATGTGCATTCACTGACACACACACTCTCTCACACACACACATACAGATAGAGCTGTACTCCACATTCTGCTCTACTCCCCCCACCCCATTTAATGTATCTTACAGATGATTTCAACAGTATATACAGATCCGTTCTTTCACATGGCTTTATTACACTGTGGTTGCTGATAACTTACATTAGTGCTTATTTATGCATGTGTGCTAAGTCACTTCAGTCATGTCTGACTCTGTGACCCCACGGACTGTGGCCCACCTAGCTCCTCTATCTATGGGATTCTCCAGGCAAGAATACTGAAGTGGGTTGCCATGCCCTCCTCCAGGGGATCTTCCCAACCCAAGGATGGAACCTGTGTCTCTTATGTCTCCTGCGATGGCAGGCGGGTTCATTACCACTAGCACCACCAGTCTCTATTCTAAACACTCTATGTATATGTATACTGATTTATATGTATTAATTCATTAAAGCTTTGTGACACATGTATAGATCTATCATAAATTACTTACCAGCTCCCTACTGATGAAGTGGTACAAGTTTTGGTTTCCAGTCTTGCTGCAGCATTGTAGGGGCATCCCCACAATGCCCCTCCATATGATTATTTATTTCAGCTTTATATATTTATGTCTTTCTTCCAGTTTCATTAAGATATTAATTGTGCAGCATGATACACACACACACACACACACACACACACTGTGACTGAACTGTACAGCTTACAGGATCTTAGTTCTCCGACCAGGGACTGAACTTGTGCCCCCCTGGAGTGGAAGTGTGGGGTCTCAACCACTGGACTGCCAGGGAAATCCCCTAAACAAAATTTTAGAAGTATTTGGCACCTCTCCTGCTTGCCAGGATCCATAAGAGATTATCAAATAGATTCTGCCATCAGAATATATAATCCAAAAAAAAAAAATCTCCTGAGATAAAATTCATCTGACTCTGGAGACTACATAATAGAAAAACTTTTCTCTTAAAAACAAACCAACAAACAAAGAAAAAAACCCTCCCTCCCTGTGTCTTGGGGCTTCCAATCCCTTTGAATGATCTTTGCTCTACTGTTTCCAGATTGAAGACCATGCCGCTGGAAACTCAGTTCCTACCCAACAAGGACTAAAGACTATCTGTGCGTGGTCATCTGAATAAAACACAGTTCAGCGATGCATTGTTTTTTAGACCTTTCTCTTTCTTTGGCGTTTTTCTAATACTGTTTTTTAAAAGAAGCAATTCAAATATCAACTCTCAAGCAAGCTATTCAACTCTCTGCTCAATTTTCTCCTGTGTAAAATGGGAATGATAGCACCTACCACATGGGTAAGACAGGGATCATGCTTTAAGTTAGAGGATGTGAAGTCACTAATTTAGTCTGGAACATAGTAGGCAATCAATAAGCAGTAGCTGTTATATTGTGTGTTACATTCATCCTTAATGCTCCTTGTCTTGTTTGTATTTGACATTGTACATTTTAAGTTCTTGGGCATTCACTATGTACTGATTACCACATTTACTTTCATGTTTAAATTTTCCCTTCTTCCTGTCTATTTCTTGCTGGGACAGTTGCAACTGTTTGTCTTCCTCTAACTCATTCCACATGTATCAACAAACCATCTTCATAAATCAAACTGTCTCGTCACTTCTGGCTTTGGTCTTCCGAGGGCCTCTCAACACATCTGGAGTAAGACCCTCTTTCTTGGGGGCCATGTAGAAGCAGCTGGTGGCTGCTTTCTCTCAAAAAAACCCCTCAAACCTTATATGTGACAGCCTCATCACCTCCCTTGGACAGAAGGGACCCTTCCCTGACTTGCTCCTGCCCCCTAACATTTGCCTACTTGAACTTGCATTTCCACCTAAAGGTCAAATCCTCAGAGAAACATCTGCAGGCTAACCCAGTAGCTGGTAGGCCCCCTGCCCCCTCACCCAGAACGATAAGCTCTATAATGACAGGGAACGCGCCCTTTCTCTGCCTGTTACCTGACACAGCGCCAATACTTAAAGGAACTCAAGTATCTGTTATATGAAAGTTCACACAAGTTGGTGAGATGAACTCTTGGATGCACGGCACAGGAAATAACAGATATAAACTATGTTATATGTTTTAGAGTTGGGCAGAGATATTTACTTATAAGAATGTTCAATAAGCGTTATTTAAAACTGTGAAAAATGAGAATCTTAGTTAAAAGTCTAAAAAAAAAAAAGTCTAACAACACAGCAATATGTTTTATGAAACAACCTATAATGTATATTGTCATCAAAATTAATATTTTAAGAGAATATGACATGAGAAAACACTGTGGTAAATAAAAAGTGGATGTAAAACTGCACATATAGAACCCCAGTTTCTTAAGAAAGAAAAGCCATCCAAATGCTTGTGGGTCTAGTAGAAAATATTCTAAAATAATACCATGCTCTTAAAACAGCATAATTAACATCTCTCTACTTTAAAGAAAGTATCCTGTCTGTCCAAGTTTATTAATCAGAAAACAAAAAATGTACTAAATGATAAGAAGATGTCCCTCTAAGTAAGACTGACGTGAGCACAGAAGCCTCAGGACAAAGTCTAACTGCTGATGTGGCCTCCTTAGCCTTCTCTGCTGCAAAGATCCCGGGGCCACCCAGGTTACCTGGTTGTTGACAACCACGTGGACAGTGCCATGAGTCGTGTAAGACGGCAGGTCACTCAGGTGGAAGGTCTCGTAAACGATGCCCTGGCCAGCAAATGCGGCGTCCCCATGCAGAAGGATGGACATGACCTACAGACAGGCAAAGGAGAACCCAAATCTGACGTGGTCCTGGCCACCGTGTCCACAAGGCACGTGGGAGAGTACGTCATGATCCACTTTTCAAAAAATGATGTAGTATTTGTTTTTGGCTGAGCCGGGTCACTGCTGCTGTGTGGGCTTTTCTCCAGTTGCAGAGAGTGGGAGTGACTTTCTAGCTGTGGTGCACAGGCTTTTCACTGTGGTGATTTCTCTTGTTGCAAAACACGGACTCTATGGCACAAGGGCTCAGCAGTCACAGCTCCTGGGCTCTAGAGCATAGGCTCAGTAGTTGGCACACAGGCTTAAATGCCCTGCGGCATGTGGGATATTCCCGGCCCAGGGACCGAACCCATGTCTTCTGCACTGCAAGTGGATTCTTTATCACTGAGCCACCAGGGAAGCCCCAAAATGATGTATTTTGAGATCATTTAAAACTTAGAAAGAAAAGGGCAGGGAAGCACAAAGACCCCCGGGCCCCTCCCAGCCCCTCCCCCGTGATGTGTTCCAGGTGGTGCGCGCCATGTCTGCACAGCCACCACCCTACCACCATCTGCTGCAGAGCCAAAGCCCACTGCCCCGAACCCACCACACAGGGCCCTTTCATAAGGAAAGCAACGCTGGCCCAGAGCCCATCCTCCCCAGCCATGCAGACATGCTCTCAGGACCACGCCTCTTCGGCTTCTCTGACCTGGAGCAGCCCCTTATCTCTCCCATCTCCACATTCTGGACAGGCCGTGGGCTCCAACCGTCCTTCGTGAACAGACTCAGGAACGGCGCATGCCATACCTGGGACACCTGAGGTGGCCTGCCCCATGTGAATGCAGACAGGTAGTTGTCCAGGTTTCTCCCTTTAAACTCACCATTTCCCCTCGGTAAGGAGCACAGTGAGGAGAACCTTTACATCCTGCTCTTCACCACACCCCTACCCACCCAGCAGCCTCTGTGGCACCTCCTGGATGCTGCCAGGTGTCACCCCTACCTTTATGCACTCGTGTTACGTAACAGCGTTCTCTGCTCAACCTTTATTTGTGTTAATATGTGCTCATGAATTCCTGTTGTAATTCCTGTTGTAAAGCCCTGTTAATGGGCTGTAACTGACTAGTTTCAGTAGTTACTTTGACGCTTACATTGCCCCGGACTTGTTGTGGGAGCCCCATGCCGTCTAAACAGGTTCATGGTCGGGGTGGCTCCCCGCTTTCTGGCACAAGAGCTTCTCAGACTCCTGCCCAGCCCTGGAATCGGACATTTCTCTAAGGAGCCTGGTTCCTTCAGTGGAGGATCACATTTAAGACTATTTGTGTGCTCATCACTACTAGAACACCATCACTTCTAGGCTCTTTCAGCCCAGAGCCAAAAAATGGATACTCAGCTCACGTACAGAGATTTCTAAATTTATACACTGTGTAACTACAACACCTCCAATTCCAATCCTTTTTCTGTGCCTTCCTCTTTCCACATCTATAAACACCTCCTGCACCTTGAGACACCATTCGCACTGTCCTTAATACGTTACCTGCTGGCTTGGTGCCCCCGTGACCCTGCCACCCCTATTCGTTGATGCCCTCTTGCTGTGTGTCCTCAGCTCTTGTCACCTCCCTGGTTCTCACGCCAGGAAGGGAAGGTCCATGTGCTCTTCAGAGACAAAGTCTAGATTCTTTTTGTAGCAGACCCCATGTGTCCTGCCATGGTGGCTGCAGGAGCGCTCTCTAGGACAGGCAGAAATAGACACAAGTGTTGGGTTTGTACAGGGACCACCTCAGAGGACGGAAGCTTTGCCAGGTCCCAAACAACCAGGGGACACAGTGCCCCTCCCTGATCACCAGGGTGAAAGCGGCCTCTCTGCAGAGCCTTCTCTATACAACCTCAGATTCCTGCCTTTGGGCATTTCAGGCTAGCCTCCCCTCTCCTCTCGCTATTTCTCTTGATCTTCTGGTGAAGCTGTACTGGGCCACCTGCCAGGCTACCTGTCGTCCCTGTAGTCTCCAGCGTGCTACCGGCTGCTGAAATCATACTCCTACCTACTCCTTTCTGCCTGCAGCACTGGTGAGCTGTTTCCCCACATGAACGTTCCAAGGGCCAACCCTGAGCCAAGCTGGGGTAGGCTCAATCTTGCACCAGCTTACAGAACAACCTTGGCCACATTTATAGAAATTACATATTTCTTTTCTGAAACACTGAAGGTTATGTAACAAATACTCCAGCTTCCTGGGTTCTGGGTTTAACAGAAATCAGATAATTGCCTAGAGGTTTGGGATGAGTAGCAAGGACGGCAAGTGTGGAGGACTGGTGGGGTCTGACCCATCCACTGAGCAGGGCAAGGGTGGGCTCAGAGAGAGGGGTAAGGCTGGGGGCCTCTGGGCATGGGCCATTCACACCGGGCAGGGCACACCTGTAGACCGGGCACTCCCTCAGACAAGCACCTGGCGACCACATGGGGCTAACCAGCCTCTCCTGGCCTCACAGCATTGATTGCTGTGATCATCTGAAGCATGTTAGATATCCTTCATCGCTTTTGTCTAGTTATTTCATTACTTTTCAGGGTGTTTCCAGCATTCTGATCAAGCGATGCCTAAATGGCTGTGTGTCTATAATTTATGAATGTGAATATCACATAATGTTTTCTGCCATCTTGTTCCCCTCCCCGGCCACAAAAGCCTTGGCAAGTGTCCCAGCCATGGACAGCAGAAATGCTGGAGGTACCAGTCACTGATGTTGCTCTCCTCCCCATCCTTCCCCTGCCACAGTGTCACTGGTGGCCTCGGGGGCTGCATAGGAAGCCACTTTCTGCCTGTTTGGAGCTTCTGTGGCACTGTCCAGGCTACCAAGCCCAGGGAAGTAACTCTCATGTCCCAACATCCTCCCCACGGGCTATACGCTTTCTCTGTGGTGCAGGAACCACTTCCTATTCCCAATGCCACCTCCGGCTGGGACCCCATTACCCTCAAACCATCCAAACACAGTATGAATAGAGTTACAGTGTCTTGAATTAAAGAACCTAGTAAACTAATAACTGGCTCCACCTCTAAAAAGTCTGAGGCTCACCAGGGCATCCTTCGGCCAGGCTGCCTCCCACCCACTTCCTCCCTGTTCTGCCCATAGCACCTCCCCCACCTGCCGCCATCTTTGTCCATCTTTCATCTCCAGGGACCATTCTTTTCTTCCCATCTACCTAAGTCCTGCTGTTTCTTTAATTAAATATGACAATTATCTGCTCTATCAATGAGAAGATTCGACTGCCTTTCATTCCACTTCCTTCCATACCCATGTATTCCTCTTCTGAAGTTCCTTACCAGTTAACCTGCAGCTTTACATCACAATGTGTATGTTCTATTAGCTTTCTCATGTGTGACCCTGTTCCTAGGAAGAATAGATGCCTGAGAGCACGGTGGTGATGCTGACTTCAAACACGCCCGAGAATGCTCACACAGACACTAAAAAAGTTGATTTTCCTGATTGCTTGGCTTTGAGGTTGTCAATAATAAGAACCATATAATTTGTAAAAGACAGACTTGTACTTTGAGATCAAACAAGGACAAACAGTTACAATCCATTGAGGATTTCTATATACCAGCAGGCTGGCTAATCAACATTAAGCATTCACCATCACATATCTGGAAAATGCTGGGACTAGGGCCATCCAAACCTGGAGCCATTCTCTACCTCTGTAATTAGGACAATCCAGACCTCGAGCTGTTCTTCATCTCTAAACGGTGCCACCCTAATACTGACTGGGCCATCTCTCCTTCTATCTGTCAGCTTCATAATTCTTCCTTTAGGCTCACCCACACCTCCTCCTTAAGACCCTCTCCTCTTGTTCAATGACAAAACCTCTTTGACCAACATGATTATTTTGCAAGACTAGCTTCTCCACAGGTGTGGTGACAACAGAAGCAAACTACTCCCCATCTAGCCCTGGTGGTCACAACTTGGGAGGAAGCGTATCTGTAACTGGGACTGGTTTACAATTGCTACTCTTTGGAAGTTCACTCAGAACATTTTGTTCAATTTCGGAAATGTGAGGTCTGGGGCATGCCTGTGGCTGTGAGCCTGTCCTGGACTGTTTGGCCTCAGGACTGCCCCTGGCCAGCTCACGCTGTCTCACCTTCTTCCCCTCAGTGTCCCCGCAGTAAAACTGCTCAGCTTTGGTCTTGCCCATCACCACAGGATCAGCAGCCTCCAGGTGGGAAGGGTTTGCCACCAGCGACAGGGTGATGTTCCTGTCGGTCACACGGTTGATCCGCCGGTGATACATGCCCAGGTGGTACTTCACATCTCCAGAACCCTGCCGGCACAAACGGTGAGGCTTTCACCTAGGCAGGGAGATGCTTACTCTCTGTGACAGCCCTGTCCTGTGTTATTTCTACAACCAGAACTCTCATTCCTAGAAGGATGGGAGGGCTTGTTCCAGAATGGCTCCACCCAGAGTACAAGGAGGAGGTCCCTCAACTAGAGGGCCACATCCCCACCCCTGGCGGGGAGAACTGTGGGGGCTGCCAGGCCTCTCATCTCTCTTTTCTCTGGGAGGTCAGCCACTGGCCACTTCCTTTTTCTGTGAGTGGTATAGAGGATCCTAGATCCCATAAATCCTTCTGGAGAAATAAATGAAGTCAGGGTCTGGTGTGGGTTGGAGCTATGCTAGTTTCTAAAAGAAATCAAGTATCTCACCTCATCAGCTGCCTCCAGCTTTGAGTCGAACTGACAGAAAATCTGCTCCAGCTCCTTCCTGATGACGTTCGCAAGCACATTCAGTCTCCCCCTGGACACATAGGAGTGAGCAGGGTCTGAGCTGGGCCTTGGGCAGCAGGCAATGCTGTTTTATCCCCTTTCTCCCCTGAGGGACAGGCAGTGCCTCAGTCTGCAGCCCAAGAGGAGCTGAGACCATAGCTGATGGGGGACACTTAGCCTCTGCTTGCCTGGCATCCAAGGCCATGACGAGGTAGGAGGAAGAAAAGGAGAAAACAGAGAATGCTGCCAGCCTGCAGTGAATGCTCCATCCTCGGCCTCCTCAAGCTGAGGTCTCTGCTTTGTGTCACCAAGCCACCTTCCCTCTAGGTTAACCTCCCTCACCTATGATCCCAACATGGTCATGAGGCCAAGATGTCTGTCTACAACCACCTATGGCCTCAAGTGTGACTGTGACTGCCCAATGAGGGGTTGCTGTGACGATGGTCATCTGGGGGCAGGGATTAGGGTTACTGTATACCAGGCTTGCCCAGTGCCCCGCTTCTGTGCTCTGGACGCTCACAGGGCAGCCGGGTACCTGTGTGGCATCCCCATGATCACGTAGTCCACTCCGTTCTCACTGGACTTGTCAATGATGGTCTTGAGGGCAGGAATCAGCACCTCGCAGCCTTCCAGGCCAAAGCGCTTCTCAGATGACCACTTCCGCTGCAGGAACTCCTCAAACCTGGACAGAAACTAAGCCACCCTGAAGAGGCATGTCAGCAGGGACAACCTTGCTCTCACAGAGCTGTGGCCACACCCCAAACCCACCCAACCCCATCAACAGAGTGTACCACACAGACGGGGCCAGTGCAGCCCTGTACCTGGTGGAGCGCACGAGCCGGGCCAGCAGGGTCCGCTTCTCCTCGTTGGTGAACTGCATGACCCCAGGTGTCTCGAATTTCTGCCGGATCCACTGGCACTGCTCCAGGTCATTGATGAACATGAATTCTACCCCAATGTGCTGGCAGTAGGCCATCTGTATTTAATGCACACACACACAAACACATAATCAAGGGGATGTTCACCCAGGTATGTTGACTGCCCACTTAGCCAGAAGGTTGGGAGGAACAGGTGGCCTCCACTTCAGGTGCAGCAGAGCTAGCATCCGTGACCTGGGGCACCAGGCCTGGGCCCACGACCTCCTCTCACTCTGAACTTGGCCATGAAATGCTTCCTCCACGTAGCATGGAGCCTAGTGGGCAGAGAGGGGAGAGCGAGAACCCCTGCATCAAGGTATGTTCCTTTCATGGTGGGAGGACAGAATCACTGTCCCGGGGACAAGGAAGCTGCTGGGCAAGGCAGCTTCTCTGACCTCAAGGTCAGACTGTGCCCAGCACTGTGAGAAAAAAAGGCCCTGTGCCGCTGGTGGATATCATAGCTCAAAGGCCACTCAACTGTAGCGGGCTTTCAAATTCTACATTCTTCTTTTAACAATTGACTCCTCTTGGGGATATCAGGTTCTACAGAAGCATGACTGCACATATACAAAAGAAAGGGTCTTGAAAAGAGCAGGCACTTCGTGACACCACTCACATGTCACAGCTGGGAAGGAGGCCGTGCGTCCTGTTGAAAGCGTAGGGTGACTTGGGCAGTATGCATGCCAGGAAATCAGAGTGAGAGAAAATAGGAAAGGCACGGGAGAGTCAAGTGTCAGAAAGGCAGCCCTCTGGGAACCCTTCATGGGGACTGTGCTGAGCAGTCTCTGGCAGGGTACTGGGCTGAACTGGGGGTCCTCTCTCGTCTCTCCTGACACTGACCAGAGAGAGGCACCTGCTGGGGAGCCATCTGGAGGGGCCCACACAGCCTTCCTGAGCCAAGTGATCAGCACTTCTCTCCCCTCATCACCTGCTGGCTGTCCTGGGTTCAGAATGAGGGGCCAACAGCAAACCCCAATCAGTGTTGGAATTAAAGAAGATATGCCCTGATGTGCCACTAAATCTTAATTAATATTTTGGCCATGCCACACAGCTTGTGATATCTCAGTTCTCCAACCAGGGATCAAACCGTGGCCACGGTAGTGACAGTGCTGAAGCCTAACCACTAAGTCACCGGGAAACACCCAACAGTAAGTTTTAGGGCCCACAAATGCCCTTACGTGCCTTTGCAGCAGCCATACTGACCAAGCGTGCTGGGTTCTGCTTGGTGGTTCTGTCTGTGACCCTCCTTGGCTTTCACAACTAACATGGAAACTGGCCAGCACGGTGTAGGGCAAAGATGCGCCTGGGATCCCAGTGGTGGGCCCAGACCTGACACCAGGTCCCTGCTTTCTTACTCTCACCTTCTAGAGCAGGGGTGAGCACCTCTGCACCTTAGCTCTGTGATAATGAAACAAAGGGACATTTGCCTGAACTCAAATAAAGGCCAACCACAACACTCTCGTTATCACCCTAGCCAAGACATGAAAAGAGGAAATGGAGCTGGGAAAGACCTTGATGTTTAAGGTATTTTCACTAACCCCAAACCCTATTTCCCTGATGATACTTCACATGATAAACTGGGAACTTCTAAACTGGATGTACAAGAAGCCCAGGGATGGGGTGTGAGGGCCTGCCTACCCTGACTTCAGAGCCAGGGGGGAATCACCACTCCCACCTGAGCTGTATAGCTCCCTGATCTACCGAGCTGCAGAAGATGGCGTATTTCTGCACAAACACACTTGAGAAAGCACAGCCCAGACACAAAGTTTGTAAACATGAACCTGGAACCTTCCTCCATGAGCTTAAGAGTCTCATGCTCTTCCGACTGAGCTAGTCGGGCGACTCCTCCATGAGCTTAAAATGGATGAGTCTTCCTTGGGACCCAAGTTTGAGCTGCAAGCCTAGTAGAGAGGAAAGGAAGGGGTGGAAGGAGATGGGAGGGGTGGGGAAGAGGGAGAAGGAAGGGAAAGGCAGAGGGAAGGGAGCGGGGAGGGGGGCTCCCTCCTCATCTTTACACATAGAGGCAGGAGAACCCTGCCCATGCTCCTTACGCCTGACTTATGTCTGATGGGGCAATATTTCCACTACTGAACAATTGAAAGCTCAAAGGAAACTATTAGGTCAAAAACAGTATGTTTCCATCATTACCAACATGAATTCAGCTATTAACTTGGAACACACAGTTACTGGGCTCCTGGATCATGTTTTGTCTTTCTTGTCTTGGCTCAGTCCCCAGAAGGGAAGGGCAGGGAGTTTTAGGTGCTGACTCTTAGCTTCTCTACCTTAGGAAGACAAGAAATTGCACTTGTTCTAAACTTTCAAAGAGCTACAAGTTGACTATTATGCCACGGGACCAAGACCACACTGAGTTCTGTCAGGTCACATAGCAGCCTAGTATATGTACATATCACGTGTAAACATACCTAACACACCATCGTCGGGTAACTTTACACAGTATCTGTAAACCATGGGAATGAGGTATTCCATGCTAGGATAAGTTGGAATGGGAAGCTTTCTTGGAAGAGCCCTGGACGTGGGCCCTCTGGGGACAGGGGCGCTATGGCTGGGACCCCGGGAGTACAGGTCCAACTGTCCCACAAGAGCCCAAATCCTGGGCTCTGGCACTGACTGAAATGAGAGCTGAGCAGGGCTCTCTGCCCCTCTCAAATGCTGGGATCAGGACAAATGGAGACTCAGGACAAGCAGTCGCCTGCAAACACGGCTATGTATCCCAATCTCTAGGAGATTTGTAAAAATGCATATATCCAGGCTCCAAAACCAGAACTGACTCAATTGGTTGTGGGTGGGCCAGGGCTTTCCCTAGGTGTTTCTATTCAAGCAGGCTTGCAGATAGCAGTCTTTGTTTACCTAATGCTTTAGGACACATTTTTTTTAAGAGTAAAAATACAAAAACATGGATTTTCATCAATAAAATAGCAAAAAAAAAAGTTTCTTCCCTTACATTAAAAAAAATATATAGGATCAAGGGAAAGAAAACCACTTAGTTCGGAGGCTTCCACAAGTTTTCCCAAGTTCCCTGGAGCTTTCGGGGAAACAGCCCAGCTTTCTCACCTCCAGGCGTCGGATGATCTCTCGCAGAGGAAGAGCGGACTCCTGCCCTCCAATGAACGTGGTGGTGGGCAGGTGGAAGACCTTGTCCAGGTCAGACTCGTCCAGACCATAGAATCCTGCGTGGGGGAGGAGAGAGGGGCACAGCCACACGGGGGCCACAGTTTAGGAAAAGGGGAAGGGACTCCCCAGAGGAGAGAAAAGAGAACAGAAAAATCATAAAACCTCTGTTATATGTGAAAATAAATACTATCTTATAGCCAGAGACACAAACTTTAGCAACAAACCAAGCTGAGTATATTACTGGCATCATAGGAAAATGAGAATAAAGTTCATATTACACATATATTAGTCCAGTGCACCAATTATTCATAATTTAGAAAAAAGTGTATTTCAAGGTCCCAAAGACACAAAGCAGTTTAGGTTTGAAAAGGCATTAGGTAAGTCAATCAGAAAGCAAATGAAAAATAGTTAAGGAGAAAATTCAAGTAGAAAATGAGGAACTGGATTAGAACTAGGTCACCTATGTCTTAATGGCAAGAACATTTGTTGGTGGTGAGTGACAGGAAGCTAGGAGACTGAGAAGTGAGGGACAGTCACCAAGAAGCCAAGGGGCCTGCAGGGAGAGCTGCCGGGCAGCAGGGCAGAGGCTCCCACAGCCATCTAATGAAGGATGGCACCTTCTCCTGGAAGAACTCCCAACTGCACATAAAGAAACATTCTCCAAACAGCACTTGGCATTCACAGATCTGATGCTTGTTCTCCCCAGTCCAATACTGTCACACATGCACTGACTAATTGCTAAAGAATTTACTGTATCACTGACTATCACCGAATCATCACTGCTCTCTGCTGAGCACCACAAGCATGGTGCCTCTCCATCTGAAAGCATATTTCAAGCTGATAAACACGTGGTGCAGGGGATTTTTACCAGGCATCACACGCTTGTTTCATGTTACAGTAATTATCAAAGGGGAAGAGACCTGGAGGAAAACTGTCAGGGGACACTACCTTAGGCACCATACCCCTAGAACACTGGCTGGAGTGAGGAAAGCTGCAGTTCACAATCCCAGACTTCATGAAACATGAAACTCTAACCGAGTACCCACAGTCTCCAACACCTGACTGCAAGATCAGACATTCTCCCATTTCTTGACCTAATTAAGTGTAAATTAGAAACAGGGCCCAGTAAGGGACTCAAGCAGTTGCTTGCAAACACAGCTGTGTATCCAAATCTCTGGGGAATCTGGGAGAGTTGTAAAAATGCACATTTCCAGGCTCTAATGCCAGACCTTGACTCAACTGGTCATGGGTGGGCCATGAAGCTCCCTTTCCCAAGCTGGCTTGGGAATGACAACGTTTGTTCATCTAATGCTCTTGGGAATGACTACCTTGATTCATCTAATGCCCTAGGATCCTTTTTTATTTTTTTAATTTTAAAAGCAAAAGCAAATTCTATTTTTCAACCGCTCCTCCCCCTTTTTAAAATTAAAACAAAAACAACCTAGTCTTTTCACCTTGGGGTGGTGGTAGTGATGGTTGAGTGGCTTGGTTACGCTATGCACCTGTTTCCTCCTGTTATTCTAATCAAGAATGAGGATGGAAAAAAAAAAAAAAGAATGAGGATGGACCATCACAAGGGTCTGATAAAGTGTGGCCCTGGCCATTCATAGCCCAGCTCTCAGCGTTTAGGAGGAAAACCAGAGTTACTTGGGGGGGCACTTTTCCTAGCTGGTGGAAACACTCAGCAGTGGGGGCTCAGGGAACCAGAGTATCCAAAGAGAGCATACTCTGTCGGGAACACTTTGATTGTGGAGTTAACCAGGTGACCTGTGTGTCCCAGAGCATGTGGGCTTGTTGTGGGGCCCTCAGCCTCACCATATGTGTGATGCTTCACTTCCCCAGCCCTGAACTGATCATTCTTGGACTCAGTTACTTGGATCATTACTGAACTTCAAAGCTGCTAGCCCTGCTTCTGAGTTCCTCAGTCATTTGATAACTTAAATCTACAGATGTCGGTTTCTGAGAAGGTAGCATAGACATATTCCTATCTATTCTCCCACTAAGTGCAACTAAAAACCACAGATATTGCATACAAAACAAACGTAAGACAATGCCAAAGAGTGGAGTAAAAGGCAGACCATCCAAGGAGGTCCCTTGGGTTTCCTTTTGGGCTCCCATATCCCAGACCTGGAGCAAAGAACATGGAAATTTCTACCGGTGTAGATTTAAAAAAAGCCCCAATAAAAGCTGCTCTCTTTAAAGAACCAGGAGAAGGGCACCCTAGCAGAACAGAAAACTTCTAGACCATGACTGCTCTATTCCACCCAAACATACATAACACACTGCAGCCCCATCGACACCCATGCCAGGCTACAATGCACTCTGACCTCTGACCCTACTTAAAGCTTTCAAAGAAGGTCCAAGAGGAAGCCCAAATTTTCATTCTCTCTGGGAGGGAATGCATTAGTCCATTCCCCTACCCCAAAGTCAACAGAGACTTTGGGGCCCAAAACACCCATTCCCATGGGGGAGTAACTAGGGGGGCCCCTCCCTACCATAGCAGTGTTCGGAGGCGCCCTGCTATAACAAACATTTAAACAAGATCCCAAGTCTTGTAATACCCAAAATGTCCTGGTTTCAATATTAAAAAAAATCACTTATAACAAGGACCAGGAATATATCAGATTAAATGAGAAAAAATAATCGACAGGCACTGACCAAAATGACACAGATGTTAGAATTATCTAATTAGAATTATCTCCTTCTCAAGGAGTCATTATCAAATGATTCCAGTGAGCAATTAAAACATGACAGAGACATGAAAAAAATTAAGTCTCAGTGAAGAAAGTCTCTTCAAAAATTGAAGATACAAAGAAGAACCAAATGAGAAATTCTGAAATTGCAAAATATAATAAACCAAATGAAAACTCAGTATGGCATTAGCAGGGAACAGAGAATCAGTGAACCTAAAGGCAGAACAATAGAAATGAACCAATCTGAAGAATACAGAGAAAACAGACCACAAAGAAAAAAGGGAACAAAGTGCTGGGGACATGTGATGCTGTGACAAAAGATTTCAAAGTTGTGTTGATGAATCCCAGAAGAAGAAAAAGAGGGAGGCTGAAAACTTTTCAAATATGACAAAAGACTTAATCCACAGACTCAAGAAGCTCAGTGAACTCACAGAATAAAGCCAACGAAATCCATGTTGAAATATGTTACAATTAAACCTCTGAATTTAAAGATAGAAAAAATCTTGAAAGCAGCCAGAATATAGTGACACTTTGCCTAGAGGGCAAAACAACTTAAATAACACTGGATTTCTCTACAGAAGTCATGGAAGCCAGAATTAAGTGGCATCACATATGCCAAGAGCTGAAAAAAAGAACTGGTTCCCCAGAATCCTATATATAGTGATAATATCCTATAGAAATAAAGGAGAAATCAAAACATTTTCAAATGAAAAAAAAAAAAACTAAGAGAATCTGTCATCCTAAATGAATGGCTAAAAGAAGTTATAAGCAGAAAGGAAATGAATATCAGAAGGAATGAGACAGGGGACTTTCCTGGTGGTCCAGTGGCTAAGACTCTGTGCTCCCCATGCAGGGGGCTTGGGTTCGACCCCTAGTTGGGGAACTAGATCCCATGTGCTGCAACTAAAGATTCCAAGTGTCACAACTAAGACCCAACACAGCCAAATAAATAAATTTTAAAAAATGAAGGAATGAGACAGGAGGAAGGAAGAAAGAATGTGGAACTAAAAAGTACAGACTCCTCCTCCTCCTGGGTCTTCTTAAGTATGTTTGACAATTGAAGCAAAATTTGTAATACTATCTGATGCTGTTCTGAATACATGTAGAGGAAATATTTAAGACAATTACATCTTATATGTGGAGAGAATGAAGGGATATAAAGGGAGGCAAGTACACTTACATGAACTGGTAAAATGATGACATTATTAAATTGTGACAGGTTATGTATATGAAATATCATAGACCTACACAACCACTAAAAAGGCTAAAAGACACTACAAACACAAAGAGATATGACTGAAAGGATTTTATACAAATAAAAATGGAATTTTAAAGCATAGGTTTAAAAACCCAGAGGAAGTCAGGAAAAAGAAAACAAAGAAACGTAAAGGGACAAACGAAGGAAAAAATGGTAGACTTATGCCATAACATATCAATAGTTAAATATAAATGATCTAAATATATTACTCAGATGACAAAGACTGACAGTGAATTAAAAAAACAGGACCCAACTATATGCTTGTCTACAAGAAACTGACTTCTCTTTAATCAGTAATCTATAAGGTCTTACCATAAGGACTCAGAGAAAGAAGAAAAAAAAAGAAAGAAAACCAACACAAAGAAAGCAGAAGTAAAGAAATAATAATAACAAAAAAAATAGAAATAACCAAGATAAGAGCAGAAATCAATGAAATTGAAAATAGCAAAACAGAAAAATCAATGAAAGAGGTGATTGGTTCTTTGGAAAGATCAGTAATACTGACAAACCTGTAACAGGACTAACAAAGAAAGAAGACACAAATTACCAATATCAGAAATAAAACAGGGTATCACTATAGACCCTCCAGATACAAAAAAAGATACTAAGGGAATACTATGAACAACAGACACATTTGACAACTCAGATATAAACAAATCATTCTTAGAACAGCACAAACTGCTGTTATCTACCCAGTAAGAAATAGGCACTTTGAATGGCTCTGTATTTATTAAAGAAATTGAATTCATAAATATAAAAAGCTTCTGAAAAAGAAAACAATAAACCCAGATGGTTTTGCTGGGGAATTCTACTGAATGTTTAAAGAAGAATTAATACCAATTCTACACAATTTCTTTCAGAAAAGAGTGTAGGAAGAAAACTTCTCAACTTACTTTATGAAGTCAGAATTACCCTGATACTAAGAACAAAGACAGTCAGAAAAAAAAAATTATAGATCAATATCCCTTATGAATATAGATGCAGATATATATATATATATCTTTGTGTATATGTCTGCATACACATACAGATACAGCAATATGCAAAAAGAATTATATACTATGACCAATTGAGGTTTATTCCAGCAGAGTTTGGTTTAACATTT